TATTACCCCATTAGACTCAATATATTTCAATTGCTCACAACCAGCATGATATCTCTGATCTCTAACACTCTGCACCTGGCCTTTCCTGGGTCTACAACACTTTTCCCTTTCTCTTCAGGTAGCTAATGCCTGCTCATATTTAAGGTCTTGCCTAAAACATCACTCTCTAGGAAATATTATTGAATACCTCAAAATATGTTCATCATGTTTACACTCAAAAAGTTCTGGATTTCAAAGCCTTCCATATTTCAGATTAGAGAAGCTCAAGCTGTAATAAAAACTCTCTCTACAGCTGCATATTGTAYTATTATCCACATTCCAAACATAGGGAAAGAGATATACCCCAGGTCACACGACTGGGATTCCACCACTGGTCTACATAACACAARAGCATGCTCATCCACTCCACATAACTCTTTATGCAGTCACTGATCTATCACAACATCTAACAAGGGCACTGAAGTTGAGTGAAGAAACACAGCAGAAAGAATATGACAATTTAAACTAGAAAAATATAAAGCACCTTAAACATTTTAAAGCATTATACATATAAAGCATTTTAAATAGTTATAGCAAGGATGCATAATCTCTAGCCTGGAGGAAAGTTTTTTGCTTTGGTGATATTATCAAACCTACAAGTCCCAATTCCAACAAATTTCCAACAAAATTCCAATGCTACAAAACAAAAGTGATAAATGCTGCTCCACCACAAGTAACGTACCTAAAACTCTAATCTTTGATCTTGATAAATCTCACCTTCACATCAACACTGCTCAGACATTTGAGAAGTTCTAATATTGAAAAATACTTTTACAAATATCTGAATATTGGGGGGTTTTTTGGAAATAAATCTCACTAAAAAAAAAGAAAATTCACCTTTTATCTTTTTAGATCATAACATACCTTTATTTGGAGCAAACATGTGCATAGCAATATCCAAAATTTCTAATTTTCGATAAATAATGAGACCAGCCTACAGGAAAACAGAAAAATAGGTGCAGGTTAAAGATAACCAAAATAAAGKTATACATCTCAGCTTTAGATAAATCCAAAAGTATGATCTCCAAAGCACTCAGAATACTGAATTTAACCCTACTATGGTACACAAATATCTTTATTTAATCACCATTCCATTTGTAAGAATGGAGAAAGTAACCTGCCTTGGCCTTAAAATATAAGTTTTCGTTTATTAACACTCAATATATGAGCAGGTATCATATGACTTATAAATACAATTTAACAAAATACATTATAGTGAGAGAATCTGCTTTGATTACAGATATCTACTTCCTTCCATTTCAATAAATCAGCTGAGAATGTTAGTGTATGAGCAGTTCAGTTCTCCTTCTAAGAATGGTTAACAGGAATAGTCAAGTAAAATGATTTTTCACAAATGAAGTTGCTACAAAACTTGATAGTTTGAAAAGTTTTTTAATTTTTTTTAAAGGAAAAGTATCACCCTATTACCCTGATAAGAAAAATCAAATTATTTTTCTGGTTACAAATTAAGCTTACATTCCTAAAAATAGATGCAAAATGGGAAA